CCATCGTAAAAGGAAGAATACCATGCAAGTTATCTTCCAACCAAATATGAAATAAATCTGTCGATAAATAAAGGCTGTATGGGCAAAAGTGTAAAAATCTATTTTTAGCACTAGTGACCTTGACACACTGATCCCTAACTCAATCAAAAGGAAGAATACCATGCAAGTTATCTTCCTATCAAATATGAAATACACCTGTCAATAAATAAAGCCTGTATGGGCAAAAGTGTAAAAATATATTTTTAGCACAAGTGACCTTGACCCACTGATCCCTACCCCAATCAAAAGGATGAATACCATGCAAGTTATCTTCCTACCAAATATGAAATATATCTGTCAATAAATAAAGGCTGTATGAGCTAAAGTGTAAAAATCTATTTTTAGCACTGGTGACCTTGACCCAACTGACCACTAACTCCATCAAATTTTATATTCCTATCAATTATAAATGACATCTGTCTATAGAATATGGTTAATACACCTGTAAAAATCTATTTTTAACATATGTGACCTTGACATTTGTGACATTGACCTTGACCCAAATGACCCCTTACTATACCCAAAGAATGAGGACCTCCCTTGGCATGTTTGTATTAAACATGAAAGACATCAACCAAAAAATAAAGGCTGTATGAGCAAAAATGTTTAAATTTATTTTCTAAACCAGTGACCTTGACCCTAGAGACCACTTACTCCACAAAAAATTAGAGGACCATTAAAGGTATCCACCTACCAAATATGCAAGATATCATTAAATAAATTAAGAAATTAAGAGAAATTAACTATAAATCCAACTTGCCGGAATAGGTTAACCAGACAAGGCCCTATTTTCAAAGTGAAAAAAGGGAAATAACTGGGAAATATGGATGACACAGTTATATAACTTGGCAATATCATGTACTTTGTATTGATAAGTAAGTGCGGAAATTATGAAGCCATTAGTATAGATAGAACTTAAGATATTTCCAACTTGCCGTTTTAGGTTAACCATTATTCATTTTCTAAGTGCTGAAAAGGGCAATAACTTGGTAAATATGGAAGCCATAGTTATGTAACTTGACCAGATCATGTACTTTGTATTGATTAGTAAGTGTGTAAACTAAGAAGCCATTGGTACAGGTAGAACTTAAGAAAAATCCAACTTGCTGTTCTAGGTTAACCTCGTACGGACGGACGGACGGTTCAATTACTATATGCCCGGGGCATAAAAACATTTATAATGTAACAAAATCAGTGATTGAAGGCCAATTATGCCTAAAAAATATCATTCTTATTTCTTTTGGTATCTTGTAATAGTTTCCAAAAAAAATATACTCATTTGCCACATTGATGAACTACATACATTGTATGTATCTTTTACTTCTTGCTCTGTTGGCAATGGGTATAATTATAGTGAATGTGTATTTTGTATGAAAGTCAAAGTACTACTTTGTTTACATTTGATTTCTAAGGCATAATGTGCCCTTAAAAATAGTAAACAATGGAAAAGATAACATTTGTAACATTTTTTTTAAAGGTAAATAATTTATAATAAAATTTGACAGATCTATTTCATCATGATAAACTAGAACTATCACTAAATGTGATTAATACCCCCACAAGACTGCTTCGGAAATGAGGATGTTACTAGTAACAGAATACCTTGTAAAAGAATTGAAATATAGAGTTATGGCTGTGGGCAATTAAAGATAGTTGTGGTTCTTGTATGTTGCATGTCCTTTCAATGTGGTTGGCCATTTATGAAGTTTAATTAAATTACTCTGTAAGAAGTCCAGAAAGACAAAGAAAAGGAACAAAGGGCAATAACTCTATAAATACTGAAGATAGAGTTATAGTTCTTGTGCACTGCACTTCCTCTTATTGTGCTTGACCATTGTATGAAGTTGTTTTGAATTCCAACCAGTACGTTTTAAGTTATGCTCCTGAAAAGGAAAAGTATCAAAGGGCAGTAACTCTGTATTTTGTCAAAATGGAGTTATGGCTCTTGTGCACTGCACTTCCTTTTAATGTCCTTGACAACTGTATGAAGTTGTATTGAATTCCAAACAGTAGTTTTCAAGTTATGCTCTGGACAAGGAAAAGTAACAAAGGGCAATAACTCTGTAATAATTCAAGATGGAGTTATGATTCTTGCGCACTGCACTTCCTCTCAATGTGCTTGACCATTGTATGAAGTTATATTGAATTCCAAACATTAGTCTTCAAGTTATTGTCCGGACAAAAAAAGCAATGGAAAAGTAACAAAGGGCAATAACTCTGTAATTACTTTAGATAGAGTTATGGTTCTTGTGCACTGCACTTCCCCTTATTGTGTTTGACAATTGTATGAAGTTGTTTTGAATTCCAACCAGTAGTTTTCAAGTTATGCTCCGGACAAGGAAAAGTAACAAAGGGCAATAACTCTGTAATTAGTCAAGATAGAGTTATGGTTCTTATGCACTGCACTTCTTCTCATTGTGCTTGACCATTGTATGTAGTTATATTGAATTCCAACAATTAGTCTTCAAGTTATGGTCCGGACAAAACAAAAAGCAATGGAAAAGCAACAAAGGGCAATAACTCTGTAATTACTTTAGATAGAGTTATGGTTCTTGTGCACTGCACTTCCCCTTATTGTGTTTGACAATTGTATGAAGTTGTTTTGAATTCCAACCAGTAGTTTTTAAGTTATGCCCCAGACAAGGAAAAGTAACAAAGGGCAATAACTCTGTAATTAGTCAAGATAGAGTTATGGTTCTTATGCACAGCACTTCCTCTCAATGTGCTTTACCATTGTATGTAGTTATATTGGATTCCAACTATTAGATTTCAAGTTATGGTCCGGACAAAAAAAAAACAATGGAAAAGCAACAAAGGGCAATAACTCTGTAATAACTTTAGATAGAGTTATGGTTCTTGTGCACTGCACTTCCCCTTATTGTGTTTGACAATTGTATGAAGTTGTTTTGAATTCAAACCAGTAGTTTTCAAGTTATGCCCTGGACAAGGAAAAGTAACAAAGGGCAATAACTCTGTAATTAGTCAAGATAGAGTTATGGTTCTTGTGCACTGCACTTCCTCTCAATGTGCTTGACCATTGTATGCAGTTATATTGAATTCCAACCATTAGTCTTCAAGTTATGCTCCGGACAAGGAAAATGCAACGGACGTCTGGACCGACCGACCGACCGCCCGACCTACCGACGGACAAACCGACCACCGGGTGACTCCTATATACCCCCCCCAAACTTCGTTTTTGGGGGTATAACAAACAAATAAATAACTTTTGCATAAAAAATTTGCAATAAACAATATCACAGCATCTGTAAAGAAAATAAATTATCTACTTTATGTTATATGGTTTAAACTACAACAATGAATAAATCAGTAAAATGACTGGATAAATGACCAACAATAAACAAGAGGGCCATCCAGGGCCTCCAGAGCAGGGCCAGTTTAAACCCAAGGGCTTTTATTTGTTTTAACCTAAGGGCTTTTATTTGAACAAACTTGGTAGACACCCATAAGAAGATGTTTCATGCTAAACATCTAAGCTCTAGCTCATTGGGTTTATTAAAAGAAGATTTTTTAAGTTTTTACTATACACATATAGTTAAAAACAATGACACCCCTGGGGCGGGGCCAGTTTTGACCCAAGGGCTTTTATTTGAACAAACTTTGTAGACACTTACTAGAAGATGTTTCATGCTTAATATCTAAACTCTAGCTATTTGGGTTTTTTCAAAGAAGATTTTTTAAGTTTTTGCTATACACATATAAGGAAAATCAATGACCCCCTGGGGCGTGGGCCAATTTTGACCCAAGGGCTTTTATTTGAACAAACTTGGTAGACACTCATTAGAAGATGTTTCATGCTAAATATCTTAGCTCTAGCTCTTTGGGTTCTTTAAAAGAAGATTTTTAAGTTTTTACTATATGCATATAGGGAAAATCAATGACCCCCTAGGGCAGGGCCAATTTTGACCCCAGGGCTTTTATTTGAACAAACTTGGTAGACACTCACTAGAAGATGTTTCATGCCAAATATCTTAGCTCTAGCTCTTTGGGTTTTTTAAAAGAAGATATTTAAAGTTTTTTCTTTCGGTTGCCATGGCAACCAGAGTTCTGCATGGAATTAAATTCTTTGAACAATTTTTAAAGGTTAACACCAAAGGAACATTCCTGTGAAGTTTGGATGAAATTGGCTTAGTGGTGTATGAGGAGATGTCATTTAAAGTAAAAGTTTACGGACGGACGGACGCCGGACGAAAAGCGATCACAAAAGCTCACCCTGTCACTTTGTGACAGGCGAGCTAAAAAAGTCGAGGTGTATATTTTTAGTGAATATCTTTAGCAATTGTGGAGATATAATAATACAAGAAAAATTTTTTGTAAATGTTTTGAAGGTTCCTAAACTGATATGGTCTTAGAAAGTGACATACAATATCAGCTAGTCTTATCTAACATTTCAACGGAATACTTCAATTTGACATTATGAAATTGCATGCAAAAAGTTAAACTTTAAGCTTCTTCAAAGGTGACTTCATCCTTTAAACAGTTAATCTAAAAATCATTAAAATAAATTCACATTAAAACAAAATATAGCTAAAAGATTGAAACATTTATACATTAATAAAGTTTATATTATAAACCAAGAATGTTGATATATATACAGGCCAAGTGGCCCAAACATAAGCATTTACTGGCATCACTGTAGGATGTTATAGAAATTAAATAATGTGGTTGAAGTATTTGGATATACAGGATACATAGGTAAAGTAAAAATAATAAATAAAACTAGAAAATCTAACATAAACATAAAAAGGAAAACATGTTTTAAAAGAACAATTTTTTTATCTCTATCTGAACTTTATACATGATAAAAACAAATAAAGCTTGTAAAATTCTGACAGTGTGACACATGTTAATCTGTATACAGTACACTATATCAATGTAAAATTCTCGCAGTGTGAGTATGTCAATCTGTATACAGTACATTATATCAATGTAAAATTCTCACAGTGTGAGACATGCCAATCTGTATACTGTACATTATATCAATGTAAAATTCTCACAGTGTAAGACATGCCAATCTGTATACAGTACATTATATCAATGTAAAATTCTCACAATTTGAGATATGCCAATCTGTATACAGTACATTATATCAATGTAAAATTCTCACAATTTGAGATATGCCAATCTGTATACAGTACATTATATCAATATAAAATTCTCGCAATTTGAGATATGCCAATCTGTATACAGTACATTATATCAATGTAAAATTCTCGCAGTGTGAGACATGCCAATCTGTATACAGTACATTATATCAATGTAAAATTCTCACAGTGTGAGACATGCCAATCTGTATACAGTACATTATATCAATGTAAAATTCTCACAGTGTGAGACATGCCAATCTGTATACAGTACATTATATCAATGTAAAATTCTCGCAATTTGAGATATGCCAATCTGTATACAGTACACTATATCAATGTAAAATTCTCGCAATTTGAGATAATTATGCCAATCTGTACACAGTACATTATATCAATGTAAAATTCTCGCAGTGTGAGACATGCCAATCTGTATACAGTACATTATATTAATGTAAAATTCTCGCAATTTGAGATATGCCAATCTGTATACAGTACATTATATTAATGTAAAATTCTCGCAATTTGAGACATGTCAATCTGTATACAGTACATTATATTAATGTAAAATTCTCGCAATTTGAGACATGCCAATCTGTATACAGTATATATAATTGATGTAAAATTCTCGCAATTTGAGATATGCCAATCTGTATACAGTATATTATATCAATGTAAAATTCTCGCAATTTGAGAAATGCCAATCTGTATACAGTACACTATATCAATGTAAATTTCTCGCAATTTGAGATATGCCAATCTGTATACAGTATACTATATCAATGTAAAATTCTCGCAGTGTGAGATATGTCAATCTGTATACAGTACACTATATCAATGTAAAATTCTCGCAATTTGAGATATGCCAATCTGTATACAGTATATTATATTAATGTATAAATTCTCGCAGTGTGAGACACGCCAATCTGTATACAGTATATATAATTGATGTAAAATTCTCACAGTGCTAGATATGCCAATCTGTATACAGTATATTAAATCAATGTAAAATTCTCACAGTGAATTATATCTAAAATTATTGCAGTAAGTGATATGCCAATCTGTATACAGAATATCACATCAGAATAATCCATAGTGCTAAAAAAAAAGATCTACCAATTAATTGTCAACAGGATGTCATATCAGGTACATAATATTCTCCTCTAGGGTAATTAACAAGGAAATCAAGCTTATGTAACCAATAAAAGCACACTACTATTTTGTAAATTGCATACACTGACAATAAGTGGCACAATTTACAATAAATGGCACAATTTATTGAGATACACCTATTATAACTGACGATCAACCCTCCAACTTAAGCAATAACTGATAAAAATATGAATTTGTCAAATCATCTAAGAATTTGTGTAAACACAGAAAACATTGCCAAAATTTATCAAAAATAGTATGCTTTTGCATATTACTAGTTGTCTTTCTTCAGGTCTAGGTGGTCATGTTCAGCAAGCTGTCTTAAAGCATACAATAATGTGTCAGGAAAATGATGTGCTATCATACGCTTGCTTAAAACTATCTCTGCAAATGTCTGACGGTCAGTCCATTCCGCATAATATTCTGGTGATGCATTCCACGCTCTGAAATGGAATGAAGTCAAGCTGTCATAGCAAAATATCTTAAATGCATCTTTTATTCTACAAAATTAATAGCAATTATGACAAGATCTACAACAAGAGAATTAAGGTATTAAGGTAAGGTTGAGATAATTTAGTCATCTTAAAATTTAATTATTATTTCCTGGGCTTTATGATACTAATAGTATTTCATAAAATTACCTTTTTTTTTCTGACAATCCTTTTTTTTTTATCTTAATTAAACGATTTGAAAAATGTTATGCCCCCGGGGGCGTTAAATCGGGGTTTTACAGTATATGAAAATAATTGTACTAAAGAGACCTGACAAACCTGTTAGAATCTTTTTTCTCTAGAACATGTAATATCTGTCCAGGAGGATACAGAGGCTCAAAATTTGCTATGATTTTTTCCTTTTCTAAAGTCTCTTCAATTATATATTGCTGAAAAAAAGTAAAAAAAATGTATACTTCTTGTTTATAAACACACAAAAAAAAGTGTTTTCTGTAGACTGCCAGAGAAAATGTTCTTTAACTGAAAATGATGAAAATACTTGAAATTACCCTAAATCGCGTTTTTTCATGTTTAAACATGGCCTGTCATATAAATTTGAAGAAAAATTGTTGTTTTGTAGATTTTTTTATTTTTTTCATTAACCCATTGCTTCATGAGCATTTTGTGAAAAATGGCTGTTTTCATTGAAAAGTCTCCCGTTACAAGTTCAAATTGCTATAATACTATAAAAACTGCTTCAACACTAATCAAACTTGGCACAAATGTTGACTGGACCATTGTCCTTGCAACAACATGCTCAGACTTAAATTTTCTGTTACCATGGCAACGAGGGGACATCTCAAAATTGCCAAAAATCACTATTTTGCGTTGATTTTTTCCATCAAAATTGATTTCAAAGTGCTGCAACTTATCAATGGATTGATATAGAGTCAAATGCTTTTCAGCGTTGGTTACACGTTACCTTATGATCAATCTGGGGTCATTTACAGCCTCTCACAAGTCCAAAATTTTCTTGGCGATGAGGGGGACTCCGCCCCCCTTCAAACCCCCCAAAACAGAAGGGGGCACATCCCCCTTCTGGCAACCCCCTGATGTATCTTTTGGTTGGGGGGCCGCGCCGAAAAAGAGGTCAATTTTTTTAACAACATTTCTCAAACAAAAACAAGTGTTTGGGGCCTAAATAAGGCATTTTTTCATCATTTGAGACAACAAAAAGGGGGGGGGGGTGAAAAAGGCGTTAAAAGGCGTGTATATGAAGTAATGGGTTAAGTTCTTAACATGATCATTTGCAAGTCAAATTTTCAAATTAATCCATTGAGGATATTAAATGAGTATAAATTCAATACTGAATTCATTGGAAAAGTTGAATAAAATTATATAACACAAACCTCAGATGAGCGTAATATTATTTTATTCTATAAGTTCAATTAAATGAGGAAGCTACATCAAATTTATATTCTATTCATCAAAATAAGAACAGTTTACCGTAAAAATAGAATCAGTTTTTACTAACATGCTGATACCACTTAAATTAAGCATGTGTTTATGTTTGTAAAACACACAAGTCATCAAAATATACGCATGACTGTGCCATATGGTTTTTATTTAAGTCATAAAAGCTGTTCAATATCTGATGAATATATAATAAATGAAATGCAGATGTAAAAGCATTTGGCAAATAACTTCACATTAAACGTCGAAATGTTTTGCTCTATTCTGTTTTTTGAAGATTTGTTCACCACAGATAATTTTATTAACATAAGATATTTTAGTAATTTCCTTATTTTGTATCAATTACATTAAAATTACAAAACAACTTACATCGAACCATTTAGCAGATTTAAGTTCTGTATGAACAGTTGGTAAATGATCTAAATCAGCTTTTCCAAATATCTTTGTCCAACATTTCCCTGCTATCACTTGGTGCTGTCAAAAACAACCATTTCATATAAAAAACTGAATTATGTAATATGTTTTCATTTCATATTAATGTAGCTTTACTAACATTATCACATATCAAGGCCATTGTTACTGCAACTTTCCAGGATAATGTTTTGAGAAAAATCACAAATGCATTATTATTTCATTATTAAACCAAAGAAAACCATAGTCTGTAAAGCAAGCTGGATTGTTTACAAACATAAAAGAATTCATAATTGGCATTGCTGAGTGGTTAATGTGCCTACAGAATGATCTTATCATGACAACATGAATGATGAATGTTTAAAGTTAAATGATTTACTAAATAATGGGATTTATAAACTTTAAAAAATTTATCTTTTCTTACAATAATGTGCATCCATGAAAAGTAACAGAAGGCAATGTATAAAAAGTTAAAAAAAATATCATGACTTAAAGGAATCCTCAGAACCCATACTGGTAAGAAATAAAAGCTTAGTCGAATAATATAAAACATTATCAATATAATTATTATTTCTAAAGTTCTTCCTACAAGCCAGAAATAATGAATAATGATACATCAACTAATACCTTTGGTAATGAACAATTTCTGATGGCTTCTAATATATCAATTCTTAATTTAATTGCTTCTACAAGTCCAAGACGTGGCACAACATCATAACCAAGAGCTACAGTACAGATAAACTCCTCAGTATATGATAGTAAACTATCACTGAAAAATAATGAAAACGATTTCAGTAGGCATTTTGATTACAAAATCTTTTATAGTGACAATCAATGATTATAAACTCAAAGCAGAACACTTACATTACACTTATTGAGCTTCTTAAGCAATATTCAAAAGATGTGTTTGTCAGTGTCTCTAGTGGTTAATGTGTCTGCCTCTCAACCAGGGAATAGTTGGTTTGAGTCCAGTACTCTGGTCACAACCATGTTCCCTCATATGACACCAATACTTGATTAATATAATACAAGATCTTCTTTAATAATTAAGCTTAAACATAGCTTAAACAAATGTTTCAACCATACAAATAACCAAAGACACTATTGTACCTTAAATTTTTAGTAATCTTCTGAAATAACAAATATAATAAATATTCACAAACATCATAACTAGATTTATCAAATTATCCGCGGCGCAGGAGTGTAATAAAGCCATTTAATAAAAACGATATTACACTAGTGTAATAACACTTTGACTTGACGTCATTTGCGCTATATATAAACACAGCGTTAAAGCGCGCTAATGTTAGCGTTACACTATAGGCCCGTCATTGAAAAATTACTCATTTTAACAGTTTACTGTTCTTATTTTATAGATGTGATAAAAAGAATATTATATTCATGTAGATTCAATACTAAATTTATTGAACTCGTTGAATAAAACAATATTATGCTCGCCAGAGGCTCGCATAATATGATTTTATTCAACTCGTTCAATAATTTAGTATTAAACTACACTCATTCAATATCCTCTATAAGATATAGAAATAGCTTTAGTATTACTGGTAAATAAGTACAGTGGTATAAATACCTGACAAGCTCCCCTGGTGTAGCATACGCAAAACAGATCAGATCTGGATATATGGATCTTAACTCTAGTGCTAGTAAAGCAGCTACACCTGCTCCAAGACTGTGACCTGTTATAACCAGTCTATACCCCTGAAACATACACACTTCACTGCACTGAATATTGCATCATAGTAATAAATGTTTATATCAGCAAGAGTAAAAATCTGTTTCAAGCACTTGTGACATTGACGCAAGTGACCCCTTTTTCTGCTCAAAGTAAGAGGACCACACAAGGTGCCTACATAATAAATATTAAAGACATCAGCCAATTAACAAATGCTGTATGCGCAAAAAGTGAAAACAATCTTTATTATATACTTATAAATGAAATATTGAGAAATATTGATGAAATAAAATGCGTATTTTCATTTTCCGTATTTTCACTGTAAAAATTTATTTTTCACTAGTGAAACATATTTTCCGTATTTTCACTGGTGTCTTGCCGGACTACTTTCTTTTAAATTCTGCTATTACACAAAATTTAAGGGAAAGTCTTTCAAATTTTATAGCAAAAAAAGAGAAAAATATATATAATAAACAGAAAATTCAAGTTTTTTCTATAAATACATGATTAATTTTCATCTTGTGGCATGAAAATTACCATATTTCACTCGTGGCTACCGCCACTCATGAAATATTTATTTTCATACCACTCGATGAAAATAAATCATGTATTTATAGAAAAAACTTGAATATCCTCTATTTATTTACAGCCAGTGACCTTGACAAAAGTGAGCCCTTTTTACACCCAAAGTTAGAAAACCATCGGAAGTAAGTTCCTACTTAATAAGAACATCAGTTGGATGTACCGGTTGATCTTGGTCTGTTGCAGCCAGCAAGTTAAAGGTAAAGTTTTTTTGTTTTTTTTATTAAATTTTTTCCTTTTTTATCCCCTTTTTTAAAAAAACAATTTTCAAAATTTTTAAAAATAAAAACAAATTTTTCAAACAAAAATTAAAAAAATTGGGTTTAAATTTCAAAAAATAAAAAAATGGGTTAAAAATTTAGGAAAAAAAATTTTTGTAAAAAACCTTTAAGGAAAAATTTAAAATGATTTAAAATGATTTGTTTAAAAAAAGGGGAAAAAATAATTTTTAAAAGCAAAGATTTTAGTTAAATTTTTTTTATTTTAATTAGTTTTTTTTTTCCCTTAAAAAAAAAAAAAAGCCCTTTCCAAAAGCAAGCGTGTAAAAAATTTTAAAAAGACCCCCCAGCCCTCCCCCATATGTTTTTTGAAAAAGGTGAAAAATTTCTTTCATTTTGTTGTTTAAAGGGAACCCTCGACCTTATTTTTTAATTTTTAAAAAATGGAAATTCCCCTTTCCCAAACTAAATTTATTCTAAGAAAAAAATTTTTAAAAAATTTACTTTTAAAAAATTTGGTTTTTGGTTTTCCCGGTATTTTTTTTTTTAAAAAATTAAAAAATCTACCTTTGAGTAAAATATAGGGTTAAAGGGAAAATTTTGGAAATTTTAAATTTTTTTGAATATTTTACCCTTACAAAAAAACTGAACAGTTTCCCTATGATCCCAAAAAATTTTTTTGTTTTTCCCCCGGGAAATATTTTGAAATTTTTAAAAAAAAACCCCCGAAATTTTAAAACCAAAAAAAGGGTTTTTAATTTTTTGAGCCAAATTTTCCCAAAAAATTTGGAAAAATTTCATTAAAATTTTTGGTGGCCCCAGTTTTTCCCAAAAATTCCCCATAAAATTGAAAACCCCCTCTTATAAAAATTTTAAAAATTTTTTTCCCTTGTTTGGCAAAAATACGGGAAAGAAAAAATTTTTTCGGGAAAAATTTGAAGTTTTTGGGAATCAAAAAGGTTTAAAAGTTTTTTTTAATTTTTAATGGAAAAATTTTTCCATTCAAAGTTGCCCCCGAGAGTTCAAAACTTTCCCCCTTTGTTTTTCTTTATGGAAATTTTTGTTTTTTTTTTGTTTTTTTTTGAAAAAAGCCCAAAAGTTAAAAAAAATTTAAATTTGGCCCGGTTTTTTTAATTTTTAAAAGGTTTTTTTTTTTATTTGGCCAAAAGGGTTTTAAATTTTTAGGTTTTTAATTTTTAAACAAAAATTTTTAAATTTTATTAGCTTTTTTATTGGTTTTTTCCCCCTTTAGATTTTTAATTTTTTTTTTCCCCTTCCCCTTTGGGATGCCCAAAATTTTTAAAAGAGTTTTTAAAAAAAAAGTAGTTTTTAAAAAGTTTTATTGGGTATTTCCAAAAAAAGGGTTTTTTTTTATTTCGTTAAAGCTAAAAAAATTTTTTTTCCTATAAAACGTATAAAATGTTTTTAAATAAAGATTAAAAAGCCCCTTTTTTTCCCCTCCCCTTTTACAGAAAACAAAATGGTTTTTTACTTAGTTTTTTTTATTCCCTTTTTTGTTTTTCCCTTTTAAAAATTTCCCTTTTCCAAACTCCGTTTTTTTTTTCTTTTTTAAAGTTTTTCCCTAACGAAGCACTTTTAGGGAAATCTTTTAAAAAAAGTAGAAAATTTAAAACCCCAAATTTTTAAAATCCCCCTTTTGTTTAAAAAAAATTACATTTTTAAAAATGAAAAATTTTTTTTTCCCAAAATCTATTTTAAAAAATATTTTTAATTTTAAATTCTTTTTAACCCCTTTTGGGAAAAGGGGTTTCCTGGCCCCAATTTTAAAAGCCCTTTTAACCCCCCGGGAAAAATTTTAAGGAATATAAAAAAAATTTTAAAAAGTCTTAAAATTTTAAAGGCCCCCCTGTTTTTTGGGAAAACCTTTGGAAAAAAATCTTTTTCTCTTTTATATTTTTTTCCCCGTCCCCCTAAAAAAAGGTTTTAAAGAAACCCTTTTTTTTTTTTTTATGTATGAAATTTCTTTGGGGCCCTTTGGGGTTTTTTAAAACGTGAGAAAGGATAAATAAAATTTTGGGGATTGCAAAAATTTTTAAAAAAACGGGTTTAAAAATTTTTTTTAAAAAACTTGTTTTCCCCGTTTTCCATTTTAAAGCAAACAAATTTAAACGAACCTCTTTTCAAATTTTTGGTTTAAAAATTTGTTTTGAAAAATTTTAAAAAATTTTTTTTTTTTTTTTTTTTTTCCCTGGTTTTAACCCCTTAAAATAAAATTAAGCCAAATTTTGTCTATGTTTTTAAATTTAAAATTTTTTACCGAGCCCTGCCCCAAACTTTTTTCCCGAAAGTCCCCTTTAAAAATTATTTTTTCAAAATTTCAAAAAAAATTGATAAAAGAGTAATTTTTTTAAAAATTTCCCCAATTTTTTTAAAAAAGTTAAAATTTATCTTTTTTTCAATTTTAAAAAGGCCCCGATATTTTGAAAAATTTTTTTTTAAATTTTTTGAAATAAAATGGTTTTTGAAAACGAATTCCCTTTTTTTTCCATCAGTTTTTTAAAAAAATGCAAAATCCCCGGAAAAAAAATGGGTTTTTTTGGTTTTTTTTTTCAAAGTTTCCCATCTTTAAAGGCCCTTTTTAAAAATCTTCATTTTTTTGGGGAAAAAATTTAATTTTGGGGAAATAAAAATTCCCATACAAAAAAAAATAAAAAAAGGTAAGGAGATAAAAGGGCCCCCCTTGGGTTTCCCCCACGCCTTTTTTTAATTTTTAAACGGGAAATAAGAATTTACCAAATTAATTAAAAGTTAAAAACACGATTTTGCAAACTTTTTTAAAAAAAAGGCCCCCAAACCCCCTTTTTTTAAAAATGTTGAAAGGAAAATTTTTAAATTTTAATAACCAATTTTTTTTTAAAAAAGGGTTTTGGGGCCCAAAAAAACCTTTCAAAAGGGTTTTAAATTTAAAATCAGAAAAAAATTTAAAACCCTTTTTTTTTAAATTAAAATTTTTTATTTAAATTTGATTTTTCTTTTTTTGTAAAAATTTTTAAAAATTTTCCCCCAAAATATTTACCTTTTTGGGGTAAAGGCCCCTTTTTTGTTCCCGGAACTGGGGTAATATTGGGAAGGTTTTTTGGTTTTTTATTTTTAAATTTCAATTTCCTTTTTTTTTCCCCAATTTTTTTGAAATCCCACAATTTAAATAAAGAGAAATTTGGAAAACCCCCCAAAATTTTTTTTTGAATAAACCTGTTTTCCCCTTTTTTCCCCTTTTTTTGGAAAAAAGAGTAAAAAAAATTTTTTTTTGTTTTTTTAAAATTCCGTTAAAAAATTTCCCCCTTTAAAAAAGAAGTAGTTTAGAAAAAAATTTAAAAGATAAATTTTTTTTTTTAGATCATTCCAAAAATAAATTTTTTTAAAAATTTAAAAATTTAATTCCGTTAAAATTTTCCCCCGGACCCCTTTTTATTTTTAAAGGGCCCCTTTTTTAGCCCAAATTTAGCAATTTTTTAATTTTTTGTTAAAAAAATGAAACCCTTTTTCCCCTATTCATTTTTTTTGTTCTAAAATATTTTAAATTTCCAATTTTTCAAAAAAATTTGATTTTTCGCAATCTTTTTAATTTTTTAAATCTTTTTTTTATTTAATTTTTTAATCTTAAATCCCCCAAAATTTTTTTTTTTTTGATTTTTTCAAAGTTTAAATTTTTTTTTATCTTTTTGTTGGCCCCAAAATTTTTTTTTGTTCAACAATTTTTTTTTTTCCCAAGGTTTTGCCCCCAAAATTTTTTTTTTTTTTTTTCTCTGGAAAACCCCCCTTACCCGGAAAAAAACCTTTAAATTCCCCCTTTTTCAATAAGATCAAAGAAAATTTTTTTTCTTTTTTTTAGATTTTTAAAAAATTTTCTATTTTTAAAAAAATTATTTTCTTTGGGATTTTTAAATTCCAAATTTTTTTTTCCAGAAACCCCCAAATTTTTTGAAAAAAAATTTCAAAGCTTTTATTTCCCCAAGAATCCAAATTTTTTCTTTTTTAAAGCTAAACCCTTTTTTGAAAAGTTTTCCCTCTCTTTAATTCCCGGCCCCCTTTAATTTAAATTTCCCCCAAAAAAACGTTTGGGAAAATTTGGCCTTTTTGGGCATTAAATGAAAAACTATTTTCCCTTTTTTGGGAAAAGAAAATTTTTTTTTTTATTTTTTTAAAATCAGTGGGCCCCCAAAAATTTTTAAAAGAATTGTTAAGTTTTAAAATATCCTGGGCCC